CCTATTGCCAAGAAGCTTCAGGGGTGAGATCATGGCGTTTTGGTAGACAAAGGCCTAAAAGTCAGTTTCATCCATTGCAGATTTCATTTCTCTTTTATATTGAACATCTGTACTGTTAGCCAGTGGAAAAGGCGAACACGTTGGAATATTGCACACGTAACATCTGGAGTTAGATATAGAGATTCGACAAAGCAGAACATTTGCTATCAGGCCGTATGCAGAGCACGTTTGAACGGAATTGGGTTAGTTAGTTAAACACAGATCACCGTAACCGGCAGACGAGGGACTTCTGCTAATCACTTTCTGTCTGAAACATTACATAGAATATGGATAAATTGAAATAAATAAGTGTAACAATCACAAAATTCCTTTTGCCAAGGGGGCTGACTTACCTTCGGTTATGCGTATTCGTTGCAAATCGACGGTAGCGGCGATGAGACTAGCTGGGGACGCATAAGGTAGTTTGATCGGTGTACTGGGTGGAGCGCTCAAGTTCCCATCCGCATTACCCTTAGCAATGATTACCCCGTTGCTTCTGGGTTCTGAGTGTTTGTTGCCGATCTGTTGTCGATAGTGGGGGGGTATGAACGAACTAACGCTATGTATATGCCCTGTTTCGTCTACGGAAGCGTGCCGTTGTGTATTTGCAAATGTCTGAGGTCGGTTTGGTGGAAATTGATGTAAGACTTAAGCCCTTTTGCACATCGGAAGCATGACCAGCTGCTTGAGATCGATCCCAGCATTTGCCGCTGTTTCGCTGGCTAAATGGAAGTGTGTTGTGCGGATTCATATTTGGTCCGACCTCCGTTGAATCGCCTAGTCGTGTATGATCGCATCGCAAGCAGTATAAATCCTCGGAATCTGAGATTGAATTGACGGACGATTTGGCGTTCTTTTGAAACCACTTGTAAGCTGGCTCCCATGAATGTAATGTCGGGTATGGACCATTGGTTTCATGTGAAGCCAATCGGATGGGAAGATTTCCAATCCTGGAGACCATTATTGGGGAAGCTTGCATTTGATCAGTCAGGTTTATCACTTCGAAAGGCGCATCAATGCTCAGTTTGCGCAATCCAAAGCTCGTTGCTGTGATGGCTGCAGACGGCCACGTGTTCGTGTCCATCTGTTCCAATTCCTTTACGGCCGCGTTGTTCTTAAACGAGCCGCTCGTTGGAGTGACTCCCGGGTTTGTGCCTCCTGAGTTGCTGAATGAAGGGGGACAATTTGAAGAATGTTGGGGAAGACGCCAAAGCCTAGGAAATTGTTTAGTTTAGTAGTTGCTAATCAAAAATCATTTACTGCCTAGTTTTCACCTTACGATTCGTTCGCTGTATATTCTTAGTATTGTAAAACGGTAAGACAATCACTTGTGATGAGCAAAAATGATGTTTTTTAAAGGATATTTTCAGTAGCAGTGAAAAAGGCAGCATTCTCCCCGACAAGAAAACCTTTTTAGGAATGCAGAAATGTTTATTCGGAGGACTTTATTCTGGCCGATCTTTTTTCTACTGCTGGGTTCTACATACTGTTTCCCATAGAAAATTTTCAGATATTGGTAGGTTTATCCGAAGTGACGAGAAAAAAATATTATGGAAACATTCGATAGGCTCACAACAATTATAAACTTACAGATGGATCACATTTACTTACGAGCTTTAAATTGGCTCATTTTGTTTTATTCGCCTAACTTGACAGCGAGTAACGCGCCACTAACAAACATCATGGCTTTTGTGTCATAGTTGCTTTAGCGCCGTAGGGAAGATACTTCTGTTTTGCAATACGTGGTGCCCCTGAGTACGATAAGTGAGTACGACCACATTTGCTAAAGACCACCACTGAACAATATCGATCACGTGATCATTTTTAAACAGTTTGATGATCCACCATGCGATCAGTGCGTAATCAAGCTGGCTTTAGTCTGACAAGCCTGTCTTACTGTTTCTGGCTTGGGAACTGGGTCATTCATAGAGGAAAAAAATGACAGCTTAGAGTAGCGACAGTTTGTATTGGAGAAGTAATCGTTACTAGAAGAAAAACATTTGTTGTTATTCTGTTCCAAAGACTCATTGTTTGCTTACGCTTTCGCCTCGTGGGAAAACTCGTCGTTTAGTGACTGTTGTTACTTACCGTTAAACTTCTTGTTTTCTCCCCGCCAGCCTTTCCAATGCTGACAGATTAGATCGCACTATTAAATGTCTTACTGTTTACATTAGCCTACCAGTTGTCTAACCGGTCTAATTATGACAATTTCCGTAGGTAACTCTTCTGAGTCTGGTGCAGAAGAGATTCACCGTTCAAGAAACATCACCACGTTTAGAATAGATTAATCAGAATTGAATATTACAAAGTAAAATATATTGTACACATGTAGTTAGACCTGTCCAATGGTTTGCATCCTCACCACAGTTCACACAGACGGGCATTTATTTAACGAAAAACCTCAGACACTGCCATAATCGGTGTTGTGATCTTCAGTCACTGTGTACAACGCGACCATCGACTTGAATCTGAATGTTTGATCAGTCTATTCATCCGGTTGCCATTTACTGTTTATCGCAGAGGTACAGCTGGTACGATCATGCTCTTGGAGTAGGCTTTTTGTTTCCATCACACGGTGTAGTGAAGGTCTGGTTAACCTTAAGAGTACACTGACTACCCCTGAATAAACATAGCAGCGCGATACGGAATGAAGCCAGCAAAAACGTCAAATGTCCTGTCGAACGGACTACCCCCGTGAATTCAACGATGGACCTCATAAACACACATGCACACGTACACAGGGAACGGTACCAGAACGAAGACCTGCTGAGAGATAACCACAGGAGATACACAGTCGACTTA